AATTACTGCTCTTCTCTGCTAGCAGATTTGAAATGCGATCTTAAAAATGCTTTTTATCAGGAGCTGCAGTTTTAGACAGCTGGATTGGATTTTGGGATATAACATACCTCATCTCTTCAATGCCCCAAAAATATGAGAAAAACCAACCTAGTGGTCTTGCCAGAACTTTATAAATGATAGGATGAAAGAACCACAGAGACAATTTTAAGGGAGACAGTTTTAGATATCAAACATTAATAAAATGCATTGATGGTTAAATTACAAAAATTAAAACAATATTCCTCTCTCATCAGGAAGATTTTTACCTTGGCCACCCAAACACACAAAGACGATTTACATATATTGCAGCTCACGTAACCTCACCACGCCATCACACACACAGGCACCGGGGGAGGGTGCCTGTGCCATCCAAGGGCTGATTTGGCCAGCAGCTGCACCTAGTCATCCCCCAAGGCACAAGGGCAAAACAAGTTCAAGATTATTTTTTGGCCACTATTTCATACCAGGCCAGGAGGAATCGGTGGCAGATGAAGGGGCTGCACTGGTGACATGCCTCCCAGGACTGGGGAAAGCGTGCGGCAGAAAGACCATACACACCCCACTGAACATCCTGAGCACTGGCACAGGGTGAACAGTGCTGGCTGGAGGATTCCAGCGCTATTTGAGACAGAACCGTACCAAGAACAGGATCTTCATGCACTAAGACTTGTTCTAACTACCCCCAACCTTCCTTGTGGCTACAGGAAACGCTGTTTCAGTTCTGCAGCAGCAGGCCAGCGGGAAAAGGCGTTACCTACCATGGGGTTCCTGGAATAGGAGTGGTTGCAACCGGCTTGGCCTTCTGAGCTGCTTTTTCTTCTTCAGTCATTTCTTCCTCTTTTGGCTCCTCAGGGAAAAAAAAAAGTTACACGATTCAGGCAATGACAGCTAACTAACTAGTTCTGTGCTTTTGCCTACTAAGCTACAATGAAGTTCACAGAAATCAGTATGAAAGTTTTAATTTTTATTCAAACACCCTGACATCTTCAAGGACTATGCTTTCTAAGCACAACAAAATGCTTTACAAGAAAAGTTTTTTGTTTACTGCAATGTAGACACTACAGACATTTTCTAGGACATGTGTTCCTAACAGACTAAACTTATCAGTTATAGCACATGGAGAACATGTAAGTTTTCTTTCAAAACTGTTCAAAATAAATAAACTAAATAGAGAAGAAAAGATATTAAAGATTTCAAACATTCAGGACAAGTTTCATTTTTATGAACACCTTAAAATCAGCACGAGAACATCATGTCTATGTAATTAGCTAACTTGTTTTCCATGTTCTTACTAATGTCTTAACTCACATCATCTGTATTTTTCCTTTAGATGTCCTTATTCCCTTATGGAAAAAAATTATTTTAAAAAGGGAAAAAAGCTACGAGTCCAAAAGGAAGGCTTTCAAAATCACCCCAGGAATTTAAGAACTCAAATTACTAACCATGTCTCCTGTCAATATGCCTGGTCTACAGATGCATCCACACCTGTAGGATGTAGGATTCAAAATGCCGATACTGACTATTTGGTTGCAAGGTCTTTTACCTCCTTTATAAGTTCTTTTATAGGTTCTTCTTTTGGCTCTTCTTCTTCTGTCTCCATTGGTAAAGGCTCCTCCGTAGGTTCTTTAATTGGCTCTTTAAGCTTCTCTTCCATTTTTTCTAAATAAAGACAGAATTTTCCTTAGTATTATTAAGAAACCATTACAGAACCACAACACATTTATTTTTATCGGTATGATTTTCCAAGCACAACAGCAAAACAGAGCTTATTTTTAATGTATTTTTAAAACTTTCTGTCCTTGGGCTTTACGGTATCTGCCTGTAAAGACATTATTATCTCCTGTACCAAGATCTACTTGCAACTAGAAAATGAAATATTGTAAGGCAGCCCATTATATTAAAAAGCTAACTAAAGTGTACCAACTGAAATAGCTCAAACATCGATAAAAATATCAACCAACAGTTGCAACACTGAAGACTACTTTCAGATTTGAAATGCTGCTGTTAAAAAATAAATTGGAGAAAATTCACAGAGAATCATCTGAGGATTGCTCTGTACCCATTTAAAAAAATAGAAAATGCATAATCTTTACTCAGCAAAAATGTTATTTGCTGTCTTAGATGTTTTTACCTTAGTAAAAAGAAGAGCTATCATTTAAACCTGAATTATTCGAAAGATGGGTATTAATTAAACCAGCTGTGTAAGTGTTCTGAATTTGTCCAAACAAAGATTTCTTGTAACTGAAAAATTCAGCAGACAATAAATGAAAGAACTGTTTGGGTTCGACTGGATTTGTTTTCCTAAAAGACCTTAAAGACTGAAAAAAGACTGATTTTTGCCCCTTCTTCCTTACTTACAAGAACAGTTTCCCTCCAATATAACAAAATCCACAGATACAACGTGGATTCAAATAAACAGAAACCACAGCCTACGTCCAGAATACGACTCAGTGATGCAGACAAGGGCAAGTAATCTACTTTTTCCTCGTATTCCAAATCTGTTTATATACTCCGTTTCTGAAGATCTGAAATTTAGCATTTCAATGATGTTTATTCTTCCCTGGTTTACCGTCTCTCGAACAACTGAATTTTTCCCTCACTTTCTATCTTTCTGCAATGGGGATCTTCTCAAACATGTATGTAAAATACTCACTTTCTGCTGGAGTGGAAACACGCATTTACCCAAGTGTCTCAGGATTTGGAAGCAACTCTAGAACCAAATACTCTTACAATACAGTGGGAAACAAAGAAACTATAACTTTTAGACTCAAGAGCAACTCAAATGGATACTTATAATCAGGATTTCAAAATATTCTTAAGGGGGATAAGGGATTAGAAATATTCTTGTTCACATTTTCAAACACACCACTACTACTGCTCTAAGCAATTTTGTCTCGTTTGCAGCTGTATTAAAAAAGTAAAAATACCTTTTTCTTTCAGTTCTTGGGGTTTTTCCCACGTTGACTCCAAAGTCCTGTTGTTATAATAGTAAGTCTTTCCATCTGCAGTTTTGTACTCTGTCCACTCGGAGACTGCTGTGGCTCCAGACAGTGTTGCAGGTGAAGCTGCAATAGCAACCTGAGGATGGATCATAGGAACGATGGGAGGGGCCATGCCTGGCAAGACACCTGTACCACGAAGAAAAAAAAAAAAAAAAGAGAGAGAGAAAAAAAGAAAAAGGAAAGAAAACAATAAGTGACAATGAAGTATCTAAGAACCAAAACCTAGTACTTTCCCAAGTTAATTAACAAATAATCAACTAGACTTTTTTTCAAAATTAAACTGGAAAGCAATGCATTGTTACTAACTTTCCCTCCTGTGTTTTACAATCAGTAACGCCCGTATTACCAGGCAAGTTAGATAGCCTTTCATTTAGAGTAATGTGTAATTCTGCACAGCACAACGCTTGTTAGTTCTTGGACACTTGCTGTAACATTCAATATTAAGTACTCTATTTATTTAAAAAGTCTTTGTTAGATTTCTGTAGCAAATAATAATTTTAAAAAATCTACTCCAGTGTTTAATTATACTGCCATTTTAAGCAAGAGTCCTATCGCTCTTGAAAAAAGACAACAGGGGCTTGAATTTGAGCCATGAGCAAAACTCTGATAAATCTTAAATCCTGACTTTAAAAGAGTCAACATTAATTCAGAGCCTTGGATAAAAACTGATGAGAATGAAATAATTTCATACTGTGTGATGCTTTTGTTTAGCACTGCAGACTGATTGGAAAAAAAACTTTATTCCCATCCTACAGCCAAATGGCAAGTAAATAACTAAGAAAGCCAGAATGCTACGTTATCCTGTTATTTCTCTACTCATCCCAACAGAATGGATCTACTGAACATATTTTGAATTACAAGTTCTAGAAAACCAAATTGGATAGTACTAGAATGACAAGATCATAATTTTGAGCTTTTAACATTTATATGAAGAAGTCTATTTTTTAAAATCATGGAAAAGCACACATTACACATTGCCATGAAGTATTCTCAGTTAGTGACTGCTCTTAAACCCACAATTTGAAAAATTAAAATTTATACTAAGACGCACATCCACGCACACCAACATGCGAGCACAATCATGTCACTATACACGTGGAAGTAGGAAAAACAAAAAACCACACACAAGAAAATAAAAACTAAGAAGTATGGGCATGAGGAGATTCACAGTTATTACAGAACTCAATGATTACAGAAAACTGTATTGGATTTTTTCATATAAAATGAGCTAACGCTAACAGTTATTTGGGAAAGTTATTTCCTGGCCAAATACGATATTTGCATTTATACTGGTTTTGAAAATGAAGTATATATATTCATTCAATTGGGGAAGCAAATAAATAAATAAAATATAAACAACAACATTCACTACCATGCCAACTTACAGACAAAACGAACTAAGATGGTTTTGAAAATTACCGGTCTTGGTGGTAGCGACTGTCTTTACATACGGGCAGCTGACTATTTGCATCATTGCTACACCTGTAAAACGGATAAGCAAGCATGTTGGAAAGCTGCCATTGTACGTCAGCTACCACTGGGAGTCTGGATGCTACAGGTTTCCTGCCACAGTTTGGAATGCCATTTTCAGCCGGCAAGAGAAAGCCTCCCGGCAAGAAAATATGAACTATTTTTGCTCCAACATTTTATGCCAGATCAAATATAAAACTAACATTAGGTTGCAGCAACAGTGTCTGCCTACATTGAACCAGCTGTTTAGCAAATTATGGGGCTGCTATTAAAAAGAAAGAAAGTATTTCAGTGATGACTCAGGGGTTTAAGTTCATTCAAGGGGGAACTCGGCTCTCCTTGTAGGGCAGTAGCACGGGAAAATATTCTGCTAATGGTGCTGTTTTCCACGGACAGCCTCTGCTCCAACAGATCCATCAGAGGAGCAGTAACGCAGTAAAACCAACAGTCTTTGCTATTTTCAGTCTGCTGCTGCACTTGGAAAGCAGCAGTAAGAGTAGGAGGAGAGATTTAAACTAGCGAGACTAGCCAGGCATGGCAGGGGGAAAGCCAAGTCCATCCCAGAGGGAGAGCGGAGGTTGCGAGGGTCATTACAGAAAGGCTGGAGGTGGAAGAAGGGCGGAAAAAAGAAATAAAAGCAATGAAGCTGCAAACAGAGGTACACAAAGCTGCACTAGGTCAGTGGCAGCACACACTTTATTTTTCATTATCAAGAATGTCACGAGATGAAAAATGCTCTAGAAGCAGCACAACTAGCCCTCCAAAAGGTAGCATCATGCACTGGTCTGCTCTCAGCTCATTCAGAAATGACGCAGAAAGGCCACAAAGAGGAAGGCATCTAATCCTCTGAAATTAGACACAAAATTCAGTAAGAAATTATACAGGAGTAAGGGGAATGCATTTCCAAAGCCATTCCTTTTTGGGGTGCAGAAGGAAACTGTAGAAGTTCTCTCTATATTGGTCCAGTCTGGACCCTCAGAAACTGAAATACTTCAGAAACTTCCCCTTAAAGGGTTTCAATTCCATCATCTGAGGTTGGAAATCCTCCAGCATGAAGTGAAATTAAACCCCTGTGTTTATAACCAAAGTAATCGCTATTTTTCTTCATTAGAGATCTAGTATGGAAAGCATACAAAAATACTGCCAATTTATTTTTTTAAATATTCGTGAGAATACAGAATTGTAATGTTTTTTAATAATACTTTCAATGAACGGATCTAAAACTAGTTTTATTTTTTAAAAAAAGTATGAATTGAGACAGAAAAACATTGACTCAAACAGCACTGAATGAAGAGTTTGTCCAACTTGGGGGGGGGGGGGTGGAGTTCACATTAGGTGCTTGAAAATGAATCTGAAAATTCGTTTTGTGAAGGAAGTTTCAGCATGTTTTAAACCGGGTCAGTATAAATAACGCCATCTGTGGGATCACTGTCACTAGAGATACTGCAGCGCAGATAAGACTCAGCAAATACCCAAGCTGTTTCCTCTGCCAAGTTCATTCTCAAACATACAACTAACTTTCAACGTATGAATTAAGAGAAAGCAGACTTACTTTTTAAGATCTGAGATTACGAGATATCACTAATCAGCTCTTCCATTGTTCCGTCTTACTACAGTACAATACAGAGATTAACTTTGAAATCACTTGACAATGGTATTGTTCAGCTCTATGTCTGTTACCTGGAAGCAATCTGGCTGGTATTTTATCTAGTGCTGAAAGCCCCGAGCAGCTAGACACTAAAACCTCTTAAGCCTCACCGACTTCACCTTCTATTGCTATGAAGTAGTTTTGACTTCTCTTTACTTTCTAGTTTCTGTAAAATATTTTAAATGTTTCATTTTCTTTTACAGTCTGTATAAACCATTACAACCAACTCAGGCCAGAATTAGCTGAAAGAAGCAGACTGATTTTTTCTGTAATCAGGCAAAATGACAAATTAAACTCAGTGGAAGCACGCACTTAAGTGCTCGGTATCCTTCCTATGTACCGTGGGCACATCTCACTGCGAGAACAGGAGAAGAGGCCAGAACTCAGACCTGCTACCAGCAAAGTTCTGAAAAAAATAATTTTCAAAAATGAGTTTAAGGAGAAGATCAGCGTTCTTGCTGTCCTTCCTCCTCTATTGCACTACACACAGAACTTTCTGACTGCGAGCTTACGGAAAAGGCCAGCCCCAGCACACACACCATTTCCACTGGCACTTTACCGTTTTATCTGACAGTTCGCACTTGAGCAGATGATTATATCCTCCAAAGGCATGCAAGGACCCTTCACTCCAGGCTCACCCCTTGCCGGCAATATCAGAAAGGGCAGTTAAGAACACTCAGCTGACCACCTTTAAGGCTTAGCCCTTTGTATTGTTCTTCCAACCCTCACAAATACACAGACATCAAAATTCTCCCTCTAGCCTTTACCCATTTTTTGTTCAGCCTTGAATATCATGTTCAGAACAGTATTTGTTTCCTCCTGTCTTAAAACAATTTGTACTACACTGCAATTTCCTTTTCAAGCAAGTTACAGATTAAAGTAGCTTTGCCCAGTTATTTGAGAAGATTATCCTAAAAGCGGAGGCAACTGAACGTTGGTCCTCTCTTCTAGTCAGCAGAACTAACACCTGTTTTAACTACTTTGATGCTTATATCCTTTACCAAAGAAGGGCTCTAAAGGATTTCTTTTCATCCAACCAATTTGATGGATGGTAAAGGCCTCCCCCATCATATGGGCTGGATCAACGTCCTACAAGGATGGCAGAAGTTACCTCGCTCAGCTTGTACAGAGCCCAAACCACGAGGATGCTGCTCAGAGCTGCTGCTTTGTAATTAACTTGCATCCAACACAACTGCAGTCTCAAACCTTCCTTTGCAACAGAAAATCTTCAGCTCTTGGTATATACCTAGTGCCACTGCACGCTGAACCAGCATTAATGCCTTTCCTACCAGAAGGGGAACTCGGCTGTTTCCATGCAAACCGAAACATGGTATTTATCAGTGAGTGGCCTCAGCAAAGCTTTAGGAGGACCTCTGCAGCAATTACAAACAGCAGCCCAGTCCAAAATTTTGCCAGCCTAAAATTACTTCCTTAAGTATCTAAACATTTTATAAAAACTTAAGAAAATATGACTTATCCAGGAACCAGTGGGCTGCCACCTCAGATTTCTTCTTCACACCTAAAGCCCATGAATAATGCCCTAGCATCCTGAATGCCTTCATCCTGGTTCCCAGTTTAAACCTCAATGTTTTGCGTAAGCATTCAGCATCGTACTTGATAGTTGCAAACCAAGAGAACTGGAAACACCTAACAACATTCAGGGGTTATGCATCTCAATGGTAATTTTTCCTGCTCATATATATATTATTTTCTTTTAATTTTTTTGCTATAATCCATGACCTGACAAATACTTATGCACAAGACTTAAAGTCTCAATCAAGCAAGTAGAAAAAAAATAGCAATCTTGCAGTTAGTAAAATATAGTGCTACAATATTCTCAGAGTCACATGTGGATTCTGTCCAGAAGCTCACTTTTTTAGTAACAGAATCACAAGAGAGACACGTGCTATGAGATTAAGAAGTGTTTAATCTTTTCTTTTCCTATAATCTAAAAGAAAAAGGTTTACATGTTTAAATGTAGCTGTTTTCTGGTATGTATATCAAAGCACTAGAAGTATTAAAAAAATCATGTTCTTTGTTAATTAAAAAGTCTGTCTGCTAACCCTGAATTCTTTCAAAAATACTGAGTGGAGAGGATTCAGGCAAGTTCCATACACAGTGGACACATGAGTGCAAACAAATTGACAACATGGACATGTAGCGGACAAGACAATTACAGTTCGCCAATTTACCTGGAAGTGGAATAGGCATGCCAGGAAGGGGGACACGAAATGGAGGTACCATTACTGGTGGAAAAGCAGGAATTGCTGCAGTTGGTTGAGGTACTGCATGAGGAACTGCAGGAGGCAATGTCTGTGGGACTGGCTGGGGTACAGTCTGCACAGGTGTAGCAGAAGGAGCAGAGGTTGAAACACTGACTGATGGTGTGGCAACTGAAACACCCGAACTCGGGGTCTGGTCTTGTGTGGTAGGTGCTGATAAAAAAAAACAAAGAACACCTTGTATCTTAGACACTACAATATATTTGCTGCAAACATACTGGCTCTCTGTTTCCCAACAGATGTTATATGAGCAGATATGCTTAGATATAATCAGCAGGACAAAAAAAAACTTTGCCTTCTCTGTAGCATTAAATATTCACAAAGAAAGTCAATTTCAAATTTTACTTTGTCCCATTCTTTACACCTAACGAGTCTCTACAGCAGCAGCAAGGGTGTACCAAAGGACAAATGTAGGCTCTGTATCCCTGTTCAGAAAAAGAGAAAGGCAACACTGCAGGGAGTTTCAAATGGAAAAAGATTTTTCTCACATTAAATGAACACAGGTTCTGCTTTTTAACAATAATAGCAGCAGCATGTGCATGACAACAGCCTGTCTAAAACGATGGTTATTAAGCTGTGATCCAAGGACAGAAAAACGTCATTAAAAAAATATGTAAATAAGCAAGGAAAAGGAAAGTACTTTTGTTCAGAAGCTGCAGGAACTTTCTTGATCTTCAGTGCCTCCCAGTGGAAAGCTACACTACTAGCAATCAATCCTGTAATCCTTGCAGCATGACTGAAACCAGCACTTAACCGAGAATAACCAGTGCTATGCACCACTGGCAAATAGGAACCAGAGACGTGGCTGATCAAACTCACTGACCAGCCTTGCACATTTACACTGAAAGATTTGGTGGAGGGGACAAGGAACTGTGGTAAAAATTAGCTGATTAGAAAAAAAGATAAACCACACCAACTTATGACCATTCTATCTGGGCCTACTGGGCACTTTCGTCAGACGCATCCCCAATAACACACCAACATATTATAATAGAGATTTTTGATTTAAGTGTTTCAGAAAGAGTGAAAGTTCTCAGCACTGCCTAACATTTAGGGAAACAGAGCAGACAGTCAGTATGTGATTCATTTTAAGGCCTAAGTCAATCAGTACCAGACAAGGATGAAGCTCAGCCAGAGTCTCAGTCTTTCTATAGGCCAAGTCTGAGAGGTATAAAATTGTTTTAAATTATAAAATTTTATCACTTAGGCACAGACACCAGCAGTAACAGTTCTTGAAAAGCAAAGACAAAGTTTAGCAGGTAGAACAGGTAGAAGTGGAACAGACTTTCAGCCTTCAATAGTTGGAAATTTTGCTTCAGAGAAGGTGCATAAAGCGCTATTCCAAAAGCGGGATCAGTTCTCAAAAGCCTGGCATTAGGCCAGAAGCTAACATTCACCTCCTACCTGATTCTTGTTACTCAGCAAAAGGGTTAGAGTAGACTGTATTTCAAAGCAGCTGAATGCAGTACTAAGTTACCTCAAATTAAATAAAAGCCCTAAACTGCTTTGAGCAATACCAGTTATTTGCTGCTCTAGGGATCTGTCCTCCCTTCAGTGTTAAACGAAAGCACAATTTGAGGGTTACCCAAATTCAGTTCCCTTTCATACACAGGTCTCTAAAGTTTGGGTTAAATGGTGAGTTCAGCTTCACTTGTCTCACCTGTTACAGGGAAAAGATTAAATAATTGCAGGGGATGCCACTATAGACTATAGCTGGAGTTAGAATAGTTCAGCAATCGCTCATCTTCTGCACGCTCCTTGGCCTGACTCTGAACACGTTCCTGCCAGCGCAGCGACAGTGATCAAGACTGTCACACACCAGGGTTCCTGATCAGCGTAAGCGTTGTGCCCTCCGCAGCCCTGCGCACAGACAGTGACACTGACCAAGGTGCTCCCTAACAAGCCTTGGCTCACGCTGGGTGACCCTCCTCATTGCTTGCTGGTGACACACACTTGTGCAAACAGCACACGAGACATCTCTGTAGAGGTGCTCTGCACTAGAGGCACATGGTTAGCATATATATTCCAAAGTCTAGCAGAAATCAGACTATTTACATTATCTGCAGATGCTGTGTCTAAACATGTGCCATGTGCACACTGCATTGACTCAGTCCCCTTTCCTCTGGGGGTTCCCTCAGCTGGCAAACCCTTAAAAGCAAAGGCTCAGCCCATGTAAACAGCAGCAATCTTCAGACTATTATTGAAAGGTCATGAGGGAACAATAACGGCTTTACGGACTTTCTTTTTCCTCTTTTGTGCAACTCCAGCAAATGGGAACTTAGGAGGCTTAGCCAGAAGAATAATGCTAATCACAGGAATACATCAGCAGCTCTATTCTGCAATCAACCAGTTCTTCAGAACCCAGAGCAGCGCTCAGAGATCCTGCCTCTTAAAGCAACAGATGCCCTCTAGGAAACAAAGAGGAAATGGCTACAACTCTAACTCCTATCCGAGATTAACTCTTCTTGTGAAATACTGTCAAAAACAATTTAGCTTTATCTACAGTCAAAAGGAAATGGAGGCATAACAGCTCTGAGATTATGTGTAAAAGAGCAGAAGAAAAATACACAGAGACCTACAGAAAAAGGGTTGCATACTGATCTAGTATTACTCTCCTGAAGTAACTCTTTCAGACTGGAAAAAAAAGGTTAGCATGCAAGGTTCTTCTGGATTAGATACTGTACTTTAAACTCATACTCCACTTTATGTTGCAACAACCTCCTCCCGGATACCAAGTTTTTGCTGCAGTAAATCCCCAAAGCAGCATCCCCACCGCCTGCTGCCCACCACCACAAAGCTTGAGAAACCCTCAGGTACTCACTGGAAATTGTCTGTGAAACCGAAGTGGCTGTGGTTGTGGTAGAGGTTGTGGAGGACTGAGTAGTCGAGGATGTGGATGGAGACGCTGCAGATGCAGGACTACTGGTGGTCGGTGTGGAGGCACCTACTGCTTGTGCCTGGGCTTGCGCAGCCAGCATTGGCGTCAGCTCCGACTGCTGGATAACTTTGACCCCGTCTGGCTTAGTCCACGCTGACTCACGTGTACGTGCATTATAGAAATACACCTACAATTTAAGAACGTCAACGTCAAACAACTGGTGGTGGCTTAACCCACGACACTTATCTGGAGGGGGGGCATTTATAAATGGTCCAGTTCCTCCTGTTTTAAAAATAATTAATACGAGGATAGACAAGAGTGCAGGAGTTTACCACAGTGCAAGACTGTACATGACAACACCCTCACAACAGCAGTACACACCCATTGCTTCATCATTTCTGGTAACCATCTTACCTTGCCATCTGGAGTCTTGTTTTCTACCCATATCTCTTCAGCTGGGGGCATGGCTGGTGTCCCTGGGGCAGAGACAGGTGAAAAAAAAAGGGAACATCATACCAGGAGGTGGTGGCATGCTACCCATGGGAGGAGGCATAAATGGTGGTCTCTAAAGGCATATAATAACAATAGGGATGATGATGGTGGTAATAATAACAACAACACCATTTTCAAGCAGAGCTTTCCTTTATTAGCACCCCAGACAGTACAACTACAGTAAGGTTAACTCTACTAGTCCTGAGAGCTTCTTTAACAATCCAACACTACTAGCTCAGAGAACGCGGTTCCTGACAAGTCACCACTGACGCCAGAACCGCTGCAGTAAGCATTTCACATCTGAGATGCTAAAAGAAATGCAGAGCATCATAAAAAAGCGGCATGAAAAGAAGTGGAGTGAGAGAAAACTCCTCTCCTGAAAAGGAGAAAATATCCCAATGCAAGAAAGAGAAGGAATGCACGAACTGTTCCTGAATAACACTCAGACATCCCCAGCTGTGAATCAAAGATATCGCTGAACAGTCACACAATGACCCTCCCAGGGTAGAAATTAAAAAAAAATTACAAGTAAGCTTCCAATATATTAGCAGAGCAGCTGATCTCATTACAATCCACTATACTTCTTGATTTCCTATTAACTAAAATTCTAACTAGTGCTGATCTAAAAAAAAAAAAAAAGAAAAAAAGAAAAATATCAAATTATATTTTCGTTATTGCATCATTACAGGAAATCCAGAACTGCCCTACACACCACTGTTACCTGGAAGCCTGAACACCTGCTTTCCAACTCAAGGTACATTAAGTTCTTTTATTCTATTCATTTATTTGGACTGTTCTGAAATCTCCTGTGCATAACAAGTACAGTGAATACTTCCCTATAAAAAATGCAGCTGAGAGAATCCACCAAAGTCTGTACCCTACTCTGCATATACTACAACTGACCTACTTATCCCCGTCACTCCAGTTCTGACTGAACTTGTGATTCAAAAGAGCTCCTCTCCACCAAGGCAACACCACGACAGCTCACCGGTAAAATCCTCCCACCTCCGCACTCAGAACTGCAGACCAGGGCTCTGCTGAAGCTGGGCTGTGCGAGGGAAACCCAGCGCCACAGAGGCCCGGTGGCTCGGTGTGACACGCCGCAAACACGCGCCCTGAGCTGCACCCGGCCACTGAGCAGGGGAGTCCTGCCCTGGGTGGTTCTCAGGGCATGCCACGGCCTTGGCTTCTGTCTGCGTTTGGCTGCTTTTAGAAGTTCCCCCGAGATCAACATTTCTGCTGTAAGAGTGACATTTTAAACTGTTTTTTAAATTCGTGTACCAGCCCTGATTTTTGTTAAATGCTATTATGAAGTCAAGAGCACAGGGCGGAATTCAAAACAGAAAAGCCATTAAGGTAGCCACAGCCTCCCTTCCCTTCCTCATTTCTTCTCTACAGCTCCTCCGTCCGGCCACACGATGATCTTTCTCTTTACTGCTCTACAAGCTGTAAAAAAGAATCCAGTAGAGCTCACCTTTTGCCTGCTGTCGCTGCTTTCCGGCACCCCCAAAAAAAAGGGGGGTTACACCTTTCCAGGGCAGTCCCGGGAGCGAGGAGGGGTCCACAGTTCCCTTCAACTCCACTCCAAGCACGCCCTCTCCTCCATTTCTACCACTCTCCCCTTGCACCAGAAGCGGGATAAGAAGCTAGGAACCAAACACTGGGTGCAAAGCAGAGCACAGCGCTGACATGGCACGAAAAACCGAGACATGCTGGGTGCATGAATTCCGTGCACAGACTGAGCTGCAGAAGGGATGCTCACTGCATGGCAGGGTACAGCAGCAGTGCTGTGACAGCAGAGAGCTGAAGCACGCTCCAAACAGAAATCAAACACACAGATCAGGGAGACAGCAGCAGCCAGGCCTGGGGCTCCAAACCAGCTCTGGCTGATTCTTGATGCTCCAAGAAGGAAGCAGGGTCCTGTCCTCCCCACTCCATCCCAGCTTCACTGCACGCTCCGACACTCTCCACTGCTTCAGCGCTGCCAAGGCAGCGCACGGGCACAGGAACATTAACACCAAACAGGAGGGAAAATGGGATCGTAAAGCACCAGAAGAAAGGCACAGCAGGTGGAAATAGTCTTAAACTTAGATTGAGCCTTAAAACATACCATAGAACAAGGCCCTAGTACTGAACAAAAGGAAAAGATGACATTCAGTGAGGTGAGCGGGATGTTTACATCCCTCAAAGGTTCTGCTTCAGTCCTCAACTCCACAGAACTTAAATTTATTCAGCTGAGATGTTCCAACAAAATGAACAGTCACTTCACACCTCCCTGAGCAGCCCCAGTTCTAACACCATGCTTTACACGGGAGAAGACAGGGAGAAAACTGCTATGGAAAACCAGCACTGCTTCTTCTGTGCGCGGGGCGATGGCAGCACAGAAAATTAGGCTACAGTTGGGTGTGAGTTCATTTCAGATGAAAAGCAGCTTAAGTCCTTGTTCATGCTCTCACTGCTTCTTCTCATAGCACTGAGGTTTTCCCTACTCTGTCACAAAGAGTGGATGTAAACCGTTATTGATAAACCACCCGGTGCTACTCACCCCCTCGCAGCCCCGCCTGCAGCCCCACAGTCACTACCCTGCCCTAACAGCACTGTGCTCCGACAACGCTACTGAAATACATTTCTTAATCACAAATGCGTTGGACATTTCAAACTCTCCAAGTCTCTGAGAAACAGGCAAAAGAAACTAAACATACATCACCACAAAATACAGACAGAAACCTACTTGACTTGTGCCCAACAGGCTCACACTGTCCCTGCAGGTGCTAAGAAGGCTCCAAGTTTCACAACAGCAAAAGAGAACACAACACCAATGAACATCAGATAAAGAGCACTCTCCCTCTGCCAAGAGTAAACCCATGTCAGCACAAGGGCCACCTGCAGCCGCTCCAGTCCAGCACCAAGCCTACTCTTAGGTTTTTTCCCAAATGGTAAATGTTCCTTTGTCAAGGTGTTGACAATTTCTGGTGTCCTACTAACAAAACACCCTCCTGAAATAAACCACTCCTTTGTCACTTCTCAGAACTGCTGCCTGTCCACTTAACCACCGGTGATCAGTAATAATGAACCACCACAGCGACAGCAGGCGTGGCTCCCGCTGGAACACAAGTGGAATTCAGCTGCACCTCCTCTGTCAGTCATTCCCCCGCTAAGGGAACACCGGCAGAACCAAGATAACCCTCCAAGGCTTCACATGGGATTCAGAAACCCCAGCACAGCCAAATCCTGCGTTCTGCACAGCCACAGGGCACCAACACAAAGTCAGGCTGTAGTGAAGACTCTGCTGGTGAGCATATCCTAACTGCTTAATTGATTCATTTAGAATTGCCTCAAGGAGCCAAACAGAAGTTGCGCTTACATACCACAGGTATGCCTTAGTTCTATAACACCAGCTTTGTGTTTTCACCATGCCCTGCTATTTTTTTTCATACAGTTCAATGTTTCTCTTCTTATTATTGCCACACGTGAAAACAAACAAGAAAAATCCCTAAATCCCAACTGAACAAACCAAGAGACTGTCCCCTTGCGTACCTGTAAATGCGGAGGTCCCATGGGCGGAGGAATCCCTCCCGGAGGAGGCATCGGAGGCATGTTCGGGTCAAATGGAGGACGTCCGAAAGGGGGGCGAGGTGGTGGGGGAGGACCTCGCATCATACCAAAAGGTGGAGGTGGTCGCATGAGAGGCGGTGGGCCTCTCATGACTGCATTTGGCGGGGGAGCTGGGCCACGAAATCTCAGTGCCTGCTGCTGAGCCATTCTGTGGGTAAGGCCAAAGTGAAACAAAGTTCATTCTCATCTGCTGCTTAGCTGTAGAAAAATCAATTCTTACAATAAACAGCGGAAAAGCCTAAAAAAAATTGGAAAGGGTGTGGAAAAAACACCAAATTTGAATGAACAAAGTTAAGTGTCCAACTACTTCCACTGTTTCTTCCCCTTTGCAACCCCAGCTCTGCCAAAGCTCCTCCAACACGACCTGCCACTGATT